ATATATATATATATATATATATGTATATCTCTATTTCTCTCTTGATGGTAGAGAATGTGGAATATTGGCTTTATGCGTACGTTACAGTTTATTTGCTTTACAACCTAACTTGCTTTTACCTAACTAATTTATAGCCTAAGAAGAAGAAGAAGAAACTCTAGAGAGAGAGAGAGAGAGAGAGAGAGAGTAATGATATCTTTTTGCCAATTGCTGCTTTAACGATAATCCTTGCCAATTCAATGTAACTTGGATAAGAAAAGTAGAGTCATTTATCATTTGATACACAATCTCTTTGATAAACAATTTATTTGAAATAAAATATTATTTTCTTATATTATAATATTTTTAGCTACTAAGACTGTGAATGGAAAAAAATAGGTCGCGTTCAGGAACGGGAACATTGGCAGAATTTAGTATTTACATCAATGAACTTTCAAGTTCCTAATGCTAATTAATTCTTTGCACTCTGAGTAATTGTTAATACGAGGTTTTAGCACAACTCCGGGTTATTTTGACCATGAGATATCATTTGCTTCATAAGTACTTACAATGTTGTACCTACCTATCTGTATAAAGATACAATGTTGCCTTTAGATGACGGCGTGCCGCGTCGCCGCAACGGCGACAACGGAGTGCAAATGGTTAATAATAATAATTATTAATAATAATATTAGTTTTTGTTCTTATTGTCATGCAACGTATCAAAAATGTTGACAATTTTTTTTATTTCGCGTTACGAAAATGAAGAACTACACACGCACGTATGACTTGGTGCAACGACACGCCCAAAGTTTTGGAAAACAACTCTACGACGATGACGACGACAACATAGACGACTATGACGATGACGACGCGTTCATCGTAACAACGAACGAAGGGAAAGGAGAGAGAGAAGGAAAGAGAGAGAGAGAGAGAAGGAAAGAGAGAGAGAGAGAGAGAAGGAAAGAGAGAGAGAGAGAGAGAGAGAGATCAGTGGGCTGGAAGCATACGCGTTCCCTTTGGTATTCCGAAACTCGACGGATCGATAATGCGGCCTTCCTTGCTCGAGAGAACGGAACGTCCTCGCGTATCTAGTCGAAATTTTTCTTCCGAAAAACCCGAATGAAAAGAATAAGAAAAGTAGGTAAGAAGGAAGGAAGGAAGGAAAAGACAACCAATCTCGTTTCGAACGCGAGCTTTTCGATCAAAAGTCATACTTCCGTCTATCCATTTGAGACATGACGATGGATAAAAAAAGAGAAAATAGAAAAAGAAAAGGAAACAAAAAAAAAAAGAAAAAAGACAAAAAGAATGAAAGAAAGTTCGTCTCCCTTCGCGCCAACTTTTTCGAAGCTCACGGCTATCTGAAATCCCATTCCTTCTCCTAGAGACTTTTCCAAGATATGCCACGAATACGTCCATCCGAAGAATTCCACAAGCACCTCCCAGCATTTTCGCCAAGAGTACGAAAGAGAAAGAGAGGGAATATCTGTACGAAACTATTCATAGAACAAATACTTTCCCAAGGGACACGGAAATACTTGACTCGAA